GCATATAATTTTATATGTGATAAGCCCATTGGGTCACTGGAAATTATTAAATTTATTCTTAACCTAGTATTGCTACATTATTGATAAAATACATTGTGCAGTACTGATACATTTATACGTATATTATATCAGTGTAAATGTTTTGTTTTTTAAAAAAATTTTTATCATGTCAGAATGTATTTTGTTTGTTTACTTTCAATAAATTAATAATTTTTTAAAATTTTCTTTTTTGTTTTCTACTTTTCAATAGGCTCGCGCCCCCTCCTAGGGTCATCACGCTCCCCTAGGTGGCGCGCCCCACAGTTGAAAAGCGCTGCTTTTATGCAATAAGATGTGCACAAAGCCGGTGCGATTTACAAGCAACATAAAAGCAATGGGTCTGTGCGTAGCGTTCAATTTTGGAAGGATCAAGCTCAAATCTGTGGGCTTTGCCATCTGCTAGTCTGTAAACTTCACACCACTACGTTCATGTTTCTTTTAAATAAACTGGATGTCCAGAATGCCACAAGATAATTGGGCTAATTATATCGGTATATAGGATCATAAATTCTTCCTTCTATTTAAAGAATAATTTCTTAATATTATTTTTGTTATTTAATAATTCGTTATAAAACTAACAATCTCTATGCCATTATAATCACGTCCAAAGTTCCGTGGGATCTCTTAAATACATTAAAAGTTTTATGTTCTAATTCATCTAAACTTAGTTAAATACTGAACTTTTTTCTTCTTCTTGCCTTTTGACATTACCAGTCTTAAGTGGACCTTTAATAAGCAGGAATCTAACATCGTCTTGGTCCTCTGCTAAGGAAATCTGAAGAAAAGCCTTCTTTACATTTGTCAAAGTTTCAATTTTTTTTAATCTAAAGTAAGTCAATAAATGAAAAATTTTAGGCTTTAGGTAAACCTCTGAGGTAATTCATTGTCTTGTGTGAAATAACATGAAATGCAATTCTAGTTTTTTATAAGGAGGCTTTCATTACTCAAAATTTCTTGATATAGTAAATAGAACATCGAGGTACTCACTGATTTATTTTCAAATACATTCTCAATTATGTCTTCTCTCAACCCTGCTATTTTTAAGATTCCTTTTTTGGAAAGCTCTACGCCAGGGGGTGGCCAACCTTTTTGGGAAGAGCGCCACTATTTGATAAAAAAAAATAATTATGCTTGCCACACTTTTAACTTTTCCAACAAAATAAAAGTAAAAAGTGTAAAAATGTTACTTCTAAGCTTATTATGGACTTTTTATGCAAATAGTGCATTTTTTAATGTAAATCTACGCAGTCGAAATTTAAAAATATAATAAATAAGACGAAAATATAAACTTAGGTTTTATTGTTCATATACTTTTTACAGATCCAATCAATTAGGTTAGGTATAAAATAAAAAAGAGTATAACTGGAATGTTTTATTCAAAATAATCAATAAGCACAGTATTTACTTGATATGGCTTTTGAATAACTACTTTTTTGTACCAAATCATCTATATTAAAATTAGCTCTTACGATGCTAGCAAAATGAGGTTATCATAGGTGCACATCAGCTAGTTTTGAATGATATTTATTTTTTTATGTTCATAGCAGAAAACATTTATTCACAAACATATTTTGATCAAAATTTTGAGGTTTTTTGTCTGAGACAACATTGCTTTAATAAAATTGTAAGAAATGGTCATTTTTTAAACTTTTCAGTAAGTTTTCGTGTGCTGCTGTTACAACTCCACCGTGCCACATTGTGGCACGCGCGCCTGTGGTTGGCCACCCCTACTCTACGTTATGCAATGTCTTGTTGATCAAGCGAGTGGAGTGCCGCAACACCGTAGAAAAACTTCCTATAGTCTTAAGTACATGGAAAATCTGAGCATATATTTTAAGCCTGTCCTTTCCGTAAAAATACGGAAAAATATTTTGCTAATAAATAAATTTGACTAGGTTTAAGGAAATACTTTGAGTTTTATGTTAAGTTGACGAATTTTTTCCTTAATTCACCTGAAATGTTGTCAATGTAATATATATATATACTAGCTGTATGGCCCGGCGTTTCACGGGCTTCTTCAAGTGTACAGCTTTATCCCTTGGAAGATTCCCCTTCCTTTTCAGTGGCAGCACTTCCTGGTGTGTGTGTGATTTATATATATGTCATTAAAATACTCTTTTTCGAAGTGTCTTCCACACCTTTGTCCTGTCGGGCGGGTCTGTTTCCTTGCCAATTAGCTCAGCGTTGCAAGGGCTTTTTCCGTGGGTGCAATTTTATCCCCATAGAAATTTCCCCTTTCTCTCTTCCCTCTTCATAGAGGGATAAGATCTTTTTTTTTTTCAAATTTCTATTTTCGATTAAAAATTTACAAAGCTAATTCAGTTTTGTTCTCAATAAAGCAGACATTGTACGTATTTATTATAATAATTTTCGTTTAATAATGAATCAAAAAATGTGTACCGTTAGCTATGAAGCGACTGCTTTTATCTGGATGTTGGATTTTTCGTTTAAATATATGTAACTGTGAAAAAAGAACTATGGGGGGGGGAGCCTAAAAATTTGTTTACATTCCTTGTATAAAACAGATTTAAAAGGAAATGGTACTATTTAATAAAAACAGGGCAGCATTTTCCCATATTTTAAGGTTTTTCAGTAAATTATTTCTCTAAAAGAAAACTATTAGTTGCGATGTATTATTAAAAACTAAAATCGTACTTATTATTTTATACATGAAACAATGTGAATACTTTCTTAAAATTCAAACTAATAAATTGGAATTGGAAAATTACTGAAAAATTCATTATTAACTATCATTATAAAAGAAACAACATTAAAAAAGAAAATATCTTTATCTGACAGAAAAATCTCTTTTCTGCTTACGTACTCTCCGTAAGTTGTTTTTCCGCACATGCGCTATAAGCGCTCAAACTCTGTGCTCTGAGGTAGTTTTCCCATAATTCACTATTACTGGCATTTGGCGATTTTTCCAATTTTTTTCGTTGTATTTTTACGGCTCCCCAAGACGGAAAAAATACACCTTCTTTAAAAATATTTTATGTATAAAGAAAGCAGAATTTTTTTTTAATTAAAAAATTCCAAATTTTTTTTGAAGTTTTACAATATTTTGTTTCAAATTAACTTGGCAGTGTTGGAAAAGGTTAAAAAAATGTACCAATCTGCTCGAAAAATAGTTTTATCTTTTTTTAGGAATTTAAATTAGAAAAATTTAAAACATTGTAGAAATTAAGGTTTTAAAAATATATTTCAAGTTAATCACATGTTAAAAGCATTTATTTTTTAAACAAAGTTAATTAATTCAGTCAATAGAGCAACGTCATGAAATTCCATTTTGGCTGAAAACTGATTTTCGACGCCAACTTTTGTCATTGTTGTAACAATAACAGTGTTACACAAATCAAAGTTGGCACCCAAAACTGGTAATTAAAACAGGTTTTAATTAATATCTTTTTAACTAAATGCTATATCGGACCAAATTGTGAGTCTAAACCATTCTCGAATCCACTTGAACCCACACAAAAAATTTCATCGAAATCAGTCCAGCCGTTTAGGAGGAGTTCAGTCACATACACACGCACAGAAGAATTACATATATAAAGATTATTTGAAAAGATATTAATTAAAAATGCTAAAAAGCATGATTCCTCTGCATTTTTGCAACAATAAAGACCCGGTTCGGCCAGTTTGACTGAAAATCGATTTTCTACGCCAACTTACGTCTTTTTTATAACAATAACGTTGTTACAAAAATGCAGGTGAATGTTGAGTTGTATGTTTTGAATGTTTTTAATTAATATCTTTTTAACTAAATGCTATATCGGACCAAATTGTGAGTCTAAACCATTCTCGTATTCACTTGAACCCACACAAAAAATTTCATCAAAATCGGTCCAGCCGTTTAGGAGTTTAGTCACATACACACGCACAGAAGATTTATATATATAAATATATATATATATATATATATATATATATATATATATATGAATAAATTATTGTTTGTTACATATGATTTAATTAATACTGATAAATTAAAACTGATTTAATTCCATATCGACAGAAAGAAAAATGGTCTGAATCAAAGAACAATATTTTACTTAAAAAAATGTAATGTCATTCATTGCTAGCTTTTTCATCTGGATGAAAGCAAATTTCACAGTATCTTTTATTTTTATCTAGTAGTGTTTCTAAGATATTTTGTTAAAGATTGTTGCAAAATCCTCAATACAACGTCATTGTCCTTGTGTTCTGATATATAAGAAATAATGCAATTCCATTAAGCAATTGCGTAGATGTGCATATATTTATAGTTCATTATTTGTAATTGTTTATAACATTAATTATTGGCTAATTAATTAATGACATGATCGCTTCGAATGACGCAGATATTCAAAAAGCAGAGAGGGAGAATTCTTGTTCCTGTTTTTAAATAAATCAGCATGACTGACGCCGAGAACTTGCACGGAATTCAAGGAGTACACTTCCTTCCTAGTGATGTCACAGGCACTTCACACATTTGCTTTCTTTCGAGATTTTGGCTCCATTCCATCCTCGATAACGCTCACTAACCTTTAGTTTTCGCGCCGTTTACTCTTCGAACAAACATTGTCTGCGAGGTGTTTCTCTCCAAAAATGGTATCTTATTTAGATCGAGACTTATGAACTTTTCTCAAATTTTGACCATTGGTACTTGATGTTATACACATTGGTTAAAATTAGCCTAATCAACAATAAATGATTTTTTTTTTCAATTCCTACTATTAATTCACACTCTCTCAATATATATTTAATTTTTTTATCTTGTTCAAATTTTCAATCGTTAACAAAATACTTTTTTCTATCCACTCAAGTTCAAATACATTTTTTTAAACTTTTAGTGCATGACACTTGATGTTAATACAGTTTTTTTCAAACATTTTAATTCATTAATTAAATTAAAAAATGAATAAGTAGTAACAAACAAAAATAATAGTCCAACAGCAGAGAGGAAAATTTTTTCTCGTGTCCCTGTGGGGCAATGGATAGCTCGTTGGACTTTGTAAAGTCTCGCAATTATTTTCTAACTTCTCAATACAATGAACTACTTCTCAACAGCCAACTCAGTCCGGCGTGGTAAAACACTCCCAATAAACAGCAGCTTGGTACAGCAAAAAACGCGCTATGCGTCGGTTTATTACCGAAGGAATTCAATTTCCTTAACCCCAAAAACAGTCCAGAGCTCCGCTCTTTCGAAGCAAGGGACCGTCTCTCACCCCTAACCGTCCTGCTCGAGGGTCAGTCACCTTCTTCCTAAAAAAAAGCAGCAACTCCTCTCCGGAAACGCGCCGATTAGCGCCTTCCATAATCCACCGCCAACAGTAGTTCAGACACTAGACTTCTTATCCAAAGGTCGGGGGTTCGAATCCCACCTGGGATGGCCTAATTTCTGAGTATGTGTAGTTTCTTTATTGCGAGACTATTTTCTTAGAATAATTAAATTTAATTAATGAATAAATAGTAACAAACAACCAAAATAGTCCAACACCATAAATAGAAAGAAAACCAGAAAATCGCTTTCTATTTTGTCACTTAATATTGAGATTCTGTCATAGTAATAATATATACATATAATACTAATATTTATTTATTATTATTATATTATACATATAATTATTAATACAAATTTATATTAATTGTAACTATTTAATAAAAGGTAACTAAAATAAAATCTTTCTTTGTTGACCTAAGTAGGAATTGACTTAAAAAAAAGTTTTTATATTACTTGTTTCTTGCAATATTCTTCCGCATTATTCTTGCAGAGTACCGAGATTTTCTGCTCATTCAAAATCTATCTTTAAAACAAATGATAACATGATGAAAATTACGAAGAAAATTCATCGAAGAAAATTGAAAATTCATCATAGAAAATTCAAAAATAAATCAATCAGTAATATTTTTCTCAGAAGTTTACAATATATCAGGTGTGGAAAAATAGCGCCCAGCAAAGATTTTTTTTTTTGCCGCCATCAAGAAAGTCAAATAGACAAAAATATTCTCTATACTTGTGTCAACATATATTCATGAGCAAAGATTTACTTACATGAAAATCAACAAGAGTAAATGTAGATGCAAATAGGCTGACAATAATCTGCAGGCTGTGATGAGAATTTTAACAAGAATTCTCACTCCTGATTTCAAGATAGTTGCAGAAAAGTGTGATAGGGTACTTTTGTCTCAGTAATCTGATTTCAAAATTAAATGTGCTTGCCGCTATATATAAACGAAATTAGCACAGTAAATAACTTGAACAAACTGCCTCTATTTTATTTAACTTGTATTTATTGATCTTTATGGCACCCCATTTATTAAGTTTGTGACATCTCTCGCGTTCTTCTTCTAACATAACTCCTAAGTTCTTTGACGGCCACGATTAATGGCAAAACTTTTCCAACCCAATAC